CAAAAAGTTACAGTTTGGTCTATTTGAATTAAAAAACCTTCTGTCACTCTTCTGTCATGGCAAACTTTAAACAGGACCTCTACGCGTCTTCACTTTAACCAAGTTTTACTTAATTCCTCCTGAGTGTGCAACTAATAGTACCATTGACAGATTCTCGCACCATAGGTTTGGATTTCAGCAGCTTCTCCAGATTTACAATCAGCATCTTGGCTGCAGATCTCTTGCTCATTGTTTAAGTCTCTGTTAGCCAACTGAGGTAGACTTTAAGAAATGTGGTTGTGCTTTAATATTGGGCTGCATGGTGGGGCAGTGGGTAACACCGTTGCCCTGCAGCAGTAAGATTTTGGGTTTGATTCCCAGCATGGGGTCTTCTGCATAGAGTTTGCATATTCTCCTTGTGCATATGTGGGTTTTCTCTGGGTACACCGGGATTCCTCCCACAGTCCAAAATCGTGACCTGTTAGGCTAATTGGTATCACTAAACTGTGTGTGAGTGTGCATGGTTTTATGTCTGTGTTGCCCTGCAACAGACTGGTGACTTGTCCAGGGTGCACCCCGCTTTTTGCCCATCCAAAACCTTTATTAGCTGTGTTCACAGTGAAACAGACGGACTGAATTTATGTATTAGAAGTCAGCGAACAAGGGGTTAGAAAATCTGATCCAACACTAAAGTCAGTGGTTATAATTCCAATCCCAGAATATGAAAAACTCCAAAAGACTATGAAGATCCATTATTTTAAAAATCAGGATTTTTTTGGTAATCTTGATGTAATTTTAGTGAAATCCAGACAAGTCTAACTACTTGCTGCTAAGCATGCCTGATTACTTAATAGACAACCAGTTGGATCTCTATGGATCTTGAAATTATAAAATTCTCTGAAATGTTCTTCAAAAGTAATGGCATATAGTGAGAAGGTTTCTCTAACTTTTGCAGCTAATAAAAAAGAGGCAAAAAATATAGAGACAGATGGAAAGTACAATAAAACTAGGCTGAACTGAATATAAATGAGAGAAATTAGCCAAGACCCCATTACAGAAGGCATTTAGTGTCCGACAGTGAGAAAGAAAACTAACTCTAGTTTGGGGTTTTATTGACGACCTCAGCAACGATTGCAACTTATGAACCTTCCTTTTCATATTCAATATTCCCGTCTTGCTCAATTATCTTAACTGTAACCTCATCGTCTCCACAACCCAGCCCCCACCACCCTCTCTGAACCTCTACTGTATGCACCCTCCTCATCCACCTTCTCAGACTCAGGATGCAGAGCATTGACAGGGCCAGAAGGTAATGATACAGCTGCCATGATGCAACAAGCCGACCTGTCGACTGTCAGGAATTGAAATCATGAAGGAATAAGCTGTCATTAAGAGGCCCTTTCCCAGTAGTGGAGCTGTCAGATGGCTGCCTACTGCCTACTTTCCTTCAATACTCCCATCTCTCCTCTGCCAGTCCCACAACATTTGCAGTCACTCCCTCATCCTTCTCTCATTTCTCTCTTCCCAAATCAATCCTTTCTGTACTCTTCTCCTTCTTTCCTCCTCTGTCCTCGTCCAGCCAATCATAATCCCATCTCCAGCACCAAATACACCCCCGCTTCCCATCTCAGATTCCTTTCTCTTTCCATCCGTTGGTTGTTGCTGGAGCAGCCTCTTCTCCTTCCTCTCACCTGTCATTTTACCTCTAGGCTTTGGGAGTTAAACCTCTTCCATGTGAACACACACACACACACACACACACATATGCATGGGAAAACATGCAAGAGGTCTGCAAAGACAGCAAAAAAAAATTCCCCTAACTTCGTATTACTGTACACACTGCCAAATGTCAGAAGCACATCCTTCAGCTGATATGATACGTTTCTATGTTTTCCGGATCTGTGGATGTTTATCTGTATACAATAATGACTTAACATATATATGTTTTAGTCAACTTTACACGTGGTTGTCAGACCACATGCTAATGAGGCCAGGGGATATTTTCCAAAAAAAAAATTGTCTTCATGCTTCAGAGTTGATGCATCTGTGTTGTCTCATTGTTGCCGTAGAGAGATTTGATTAAAAGGTGATTTTCACTTTTTGAGTTTCTTCCATAAGGCTTCAGATTGACAGATGCAGAACCACTGCAAGACAAAGAAGGCTGACTCAGACTTTCAAAAACCTGACAAAAACTTTCAGTGTAGTGCAGGAGAAGCTCCTTGCAGGACCACACATACTTAAAACTTTTTCTGAGTCTATCTTACTGTTAGGTCTCTGGGGACTTGTGTGTTTTGAAAAGCTGAAAAAGTGCCAGCCCTGCCTTATTGTGCTGCTTGTGACCCCTCATTTTAGACTCTGGATTTCCAATAAACTTCTCATCACAAGCTTTAAAAATACTTCTAAAATTTCAATCTAATCTAAGTGTTGCGAAATTATTAATACTTGAACTCGTGGATGTTTTGAAGCAAAATTGCGAATATTGACAAAGATGGTTTGTATTTCCAAAGATCATACTAATGAAATAACATTTGGTTACAGTTATACTTTATTATGGCTTTGTGGATAAAGGTAAAAGAAAGAACACGACAGCTACAGCAACAGTTTACTCTTTTCCCATGGCTCATCCCAGACGAACGCCAGCCAGCAAAATCCCCTCCAACTTCCAGCCACTGGCCTTCTCATGGATGTACATTTCTTTTACTCTGACTCTGACACTGAATAACAGGGTCTGACCCAGAGATAACCCTTCTCTTTTGATCTTAATGTCCACAAATCATGACAGAAAGAATATTTTAGTAGAAAGGTTTATGTTTAAAAAGGAATTGTAGGGGACCAGCCAAGGGCCCATCAAGGAAAGTGGGGAAATTTTGAATGGCTACTACTGTATCTTTTCTGTAACAATATAGTATTTTTTCTTTCTCTAAGGAACTTGCGGTACAAATATTGGACCTACTACTGCTAGTATCATGTGCAATCCTCTTTTGTCAAATCCGGTTCAATTTGCATGCTTTCAAAGCCAAAAGAATGCTTTGTTTTTGGTCCACTCAAAAAAAAGCCTCCAACTTAATGCTATTTCTGACTTTTTTAAATTAAAATGTTTCCTAAATGGGAAGCAAAGTGTCTTCAAACTTGGAAACAAAGTCCTGTGGATTTTAATTTTTTTTTGGAATGACTATTACCTGGATGACTAAGAATCTTTACCAGCTGGTAAGTTATCCAGATTGAAAACAGTTTATATGGACGTCGGCTAAAAGGCTGCTCAGGAAGGAGGAAGTTATTATTTTAAAGCTAACTTATAAAGCCAGATTCTGGTTTTTAGATCTTCTTTGGGAGATAAAAACTATCATCGAGTCTGATAAAAGTAAAATGTGTCTGATCACAGTGAACATTATCATAATATAAGGGAAAAGGGGAATCTCTCCCCCCCAAGGACACCACTGTAAAGTAAAGGGCAGCAGAAACATATTAGATGCTTATTTACAACCATTTTATGCCATGCTGCCAAAATACTAAGTAAATGTGCAGTATAGTAAACTTCTATTCCCTCAGTATTCTAGTGTCAAGAAAATAAAACAAATTTTGGTAATCCTAACTGACCTAAATAGGAAATGTTTCGTGTAACTTAATGTTAGTAAGAAAAAAAAAAAAAAACTGACAAAAATAACTTGCAGTATGAGTAAATATCTGCTCTCAACTGAACATTACATAAAAACCATGATTTAGTCGAACGCAGGGGGGGGAAAAACCTTACATGTTTTTATTATTATTCTCTTGAATGGTTTATAACACTTATCTTTCATGCATGCGGTTGAAAACACATCAAGACAAATTTTACAGTATGACATAATAAACCACAAACATGTCTGTAACAGTTGCAGACAGCATGAAGTGAGAGGAAATGTGCGCGGCTGTCTTTCCAGCTCACAGACACACTACAAGGCTCGTGTTTGCTTTCTGCCTGGATGATGATTTGTCAGGGTGCGAGAACATGATTTCTTGTTTACAGTGATGAATGGGCAACACTCTCCCTACACACACCATGTTCTCTATATCTAAGCTGTCACTTTGCCTCAGTGCATCGCAAGCTTTTTCTTTTCCAACCGTTAGAGCATACAGACTGTATGAGGTAGTTTCATGGTACCTGAAAAATCTGTGTCAGAACACATGGACACGCGTGTAACCCCAACCTTACCCACTGCCGTACGCAGCAGGAGAGAGCTTTACACAGTGGGCAAGGTCTTTATCATATTCAGGTGGATGAAACGACGGAATGAGGGAGAGCAGGGGAGAACAGCATCCCCCAAAGTCAATTTGAACAGCAGGCCGATTAAATTACATAGATAGTCGTGGCCACGCTGACAAATGAGCACAAAGATGGGGAAGAAAATAATGAGACAGGCGAAGACACCTTTTGCTTGCTGATATAGATATGTGTACATTTCTTGGGGATCATATGGTCAAGAGAGAAAAGGGAAAAAAAATGGTTTGATATATTACATCCTCCTCTGTTTCAGCTCACCCACCTGTGCATACATAGGACCAATCAGAAAAAAGGTATTATAAAGCTACACAAATGTTTTCTGGTATCTTAATGATCAAATATGCTTAAATTCACTGAAGAATGTGTTGTTACGGTGTAATTCAAGAGGAGGGGTTGAGGTTTGTACCTTTGAATGAAAATCTGCTTCTTTTCGCTTTTTGCCCCTCGGCTTATGTGATGCTGCAGAGTGTTGCTATTGTTCATCATCAAGTAATCTGTTTTTGACTCCGGGGGCAATCTTTTCTTTCCATCCCTCAATTGTATAAATTGTGCAATTCAGTTAAACTGAGTTATGTCGACTGTATATATGGAGAGTGAGGAAAAAAGCACAAACAAAAACAATCCACAATAATGCAGTTCTAATGAGCACACAGAATTAACTGTAGTTTAAAAAGATGTCATATAAGGAGCCAAAAAAAAAATCATGATGGAGAAATGAGAAATACCTTAAGTTCAATATCTAAGAGCACTGAGAGCCTACCTCCATGGCCTTTGTAATGAAGGGGATCTGCGTTCCTGAGTCCAGGTCCTGGTTAATGATGAGTCTGCGGGCCCACTGACCAGCGCGCACCACCCCACTGCCCTGGATCAGCACCAGCAGCTTGTTTGGGTTAGTCAAGGCATCCTGGCTAAGATAGATAAAACTTCTGGGTTCGTCTTCTGTTGCATCCACCTGAAGATAAGGCGATATAAAGGTCACGATGGCTTTTCACGAACAAGGTGCAATTACTGGATTTCATCACAGCACTGCTCTGAAGACATGACATGTATTTGATGTCTACTTCTTTAGAGGTTCATCTGATAAAGGTTACAGAGGAGTAGCTTTTTCATTTATTGTTTTGACACCCTTTAAAAACAAGTGAAAAAAAAAACATAAATATTGCGCAACAGGATAATCTCACAAACATTTAAAAAAAAAAAAGAATAAATATTTGAAGAGTTATTTAATTATACTTTATTCTTTTAAAGTAAATCAAAGTTCTTAGGATCATCTAATCAGAAATTTATGATGGGCTGTTTCAATGAGTCACATGCCAAAAAATAGACCTGCAAAGAAATTATTTGGGAGAGATTATAGCCAAACAGTGATTAAATAATAATATAATAATAATTGAACTTTATTGATCTCATATTGGAGAAAATTACCTCTGCATTTTAACCAATCAACTTAGGGAGCACTGCCTCTATCTTAACAATACATATGTGGACGTATTTATTCTGAGACTTAAATTGGAACTGTGGGCGTTCTCAGATCAAAGCATATTATGCCCACTGTTAGGTATGTTGGTGTAGACAAGCAATAACTCTATAGGATACCAAAACAGGTGAGACCGAAGCAAAGAGGAAAAGAGGGAATCATCTTTTCTGGACAATCAAGAGAGATTGTGCAAAGATTCCTCTCTCTGCAAGGTCTAACCTTGCTAAGAGTAATATCCTATCAGCAAATAGAAGCCATACAAATGTGTGGCTGCTCAAGTATCAACAAGTGTGCCACAAGTTATGTTAAGAATATTTTTTTCTCTTGACTTTGGAGTTCATATCCCTGTAAAATTTGGATGAAATCAAATTAACTGACCTATTTTCCAGAGGTTGAGATCATGCTATTGCAATCATAGTTTGTTTTAAAACTTTTTACCAGACGCTTCTCATCTTTGGTTTACATCACATTACCTCTCCATCAATAACCCGAAACTAATAAAACACATAGGAAAGCTGACACTGACGGAGTTTGTGATTGTTTATGTGAGCCTGCGCTTCATCCACGTCCCTGGCTTCTCTGCATCCCTCTCAAGTACGCTTGGAAGAATCTCTAAGGAGACACTGTCCATAAAAGCTATGGGTGGCAGCTGCAAGAACTTAATCCAAACAGACAAAGAGGGCCAAGTGGGGGAGAAAATCTTACCCTTTATTCTCCTCTGCTCTCTCATTCCCTCTTCTTAGACTGGGCTGTGGTTAATCTTCTTAAAATCTGCGGTCACAAGTTCAATGCTACGCAGGTGGACGGACCCACCACTAACACACTAAAACACACACACACACGCTCGGTATATGTGCAAGCGGGTGGGCAGCAGAAAAGCATAGGAGAGCAATTTTCCAGTGGAATAATGAGATAAATAGGCCAAGCAGATGAACCAGTAAAAGTGTATGGGGGCTAATGAAAGGCGCTGACTCCGGCTAGGTGATTTATAGACACTGTTAGTGCTCAAGCTAACTCTGTATGCTTCTAAACACCAGCGTTTCCTAACGTCACCGTAAAACTCGGTCTGAAAAATGAGAGCAGAAAAAAAAGAGACAAACAAGCCTCCGACAACAAATAAAAGGGGATCAAGACTGTGCAATGAGCCTGGATGAGCTGGGCAAAGAATACCTCCACAATGGCAGAGTGGAAAGTCGCCTTTAGCCCAACTGAATGCAAAACAGATTAGGAATCAGCTCCTCTTTGAAATGACACATCACAATCCAGTTTCAATTTGTGGAGGAGACACTTTTGCACAACAGATGTGTGCAAATAAGAAAGACAGAGAATACTAGAGATACTGATGAAGAAAAAAAAAAAAAGAGAATAGGGGTAGCTGCCTCCTTAAAACGCAACGTTTTTAACCTTAAGTTTCTAAACAGGGCTCCTTTTATCAACAGGTCAGAATCCTGATATGTAAAGTTGCATCCTGAAACATCCGTTTATATGGATGTTATAAAACAGATAAACATGAATAAGTGCAGAATTTTAATATTGAAAATTCTCATAATGACAACAATGGGTAGCATTAGGCCAATTATAGAAAGAAACATAGACTTTAAATTTGCTGGATGAAAAGGGCTGGTAGGGGACTATCATTATACAGAGGCAGTTTTAACTGCATTGAAATTTGTTTCTACTAGGGCTGCAACTAACGATTAATTAGCAAATCNGAAGAAAAAAAAAAAAAGAGAATAGGGGTAGCTGCCTCCTTAAAACGCAACGTTTTTAACCTTAAGTTTCTAAACAGGGCTCCTTTTATCAACAGGTCAGAATCCTGATATGTAAAGTTGCATCCTGAAACATCCGTTTATATGGATGTTATAAAACAGATAAACATGAATAAGTGCAGAATTTTAATATTGAAAATTCTCATAATGACAACAATGGGTAGCATTAGGCCAATTATAGAAAGAAACATAGACTTTAAATTTGCTGGATGAAAAGGGCTGGTAGGGGACTATCATTATACAGAGGCAGTTTTAACTGCATTGAAATTTGCTTCTACTAGGGCTGCAACTAACGATTAATTAGCAAATCCATTAATTAGTTGATTATTTTTCTATGAATTGATTAATAATTGGATAGCCAACGGTTCTTTAAAGAAGACATTTTGCAAAATTAAACCAGGTGAAACTAAAACTTTCCACTTAAGGAGTTCTGGATAGAGCATATTGAAAGACCAAAAAAAATTTTTATCTTAAATGCAAAATGTTTGCATTTTTTATTTTTTTTTGCAATAGTATAATTGCTTCACATGGTGGGCTGCTCCATCAGCTAAAGGCACATTTTAGAGTCCCTTCACTCCAATTAACTATTAATCGATTATTACATTAGTTGACGATTATTTCCATAATCGATTAATCACGATTTATCAGATTAATTGTTTCAACCCTAGTTTATACAAAGTCATATCTCAGGATTTGGTGATATGAAAGCTATTTTTTATTGAAATACTTTATTCATAAAAAAAACCCATCAAAACCATTGCCATAACCTGATATAAAGGCCACTACTTAAGTTTATTTTAAACACAACGAAAGACTGCAGCTGCAGTGTGGGAGATATATAAAAGTTCATGGTGCATGAAAAGTTTTTTTAAGGCCCTGATGACCTTTACTCATATTTAATATTTGTTCAACTTTATAAAGTACTTACAGGTAGAAATACTTTTTTCATGTTGCACTTTGTCTCCAACAGTTCGTAAACATACTGGGTGATGATCTAAAAAACAGAAACAACAGAAAAGTCAGTGAGTCGGATATCATACTGATATAAATTAATCTGTTAAAGAAAACAAACAGTGTACACGTGTGAAGAAGTAATCAGCAGCCGCTGCTGACAGACAGACAGACAGCTGCTAAAACCCCCTTTTACCGTCTTGCATTTGTGTGCACGTGAAGAAGAGTCTGGGTTTATACTGTGCCTGTGTTCGTGGGGACGTTTGATTTTTTATAAGGAACAGTCAACTGGAATCATTGAAAAACAGATTCTCTTCTTTGGTTGGGGTAAGTTTTGAACTAAGGTCTTGGTTTATTTTAGGGTTAGATGTGGACTCTTAATGGTTAGGGTTAAGGTCCGGGTTAGGCCATACAAATGAATGGTAAATTAATGGAAGTCAATGGAAAGTCCCCATAAGGATAGGGGGATATAGCGTGTGTGTGTGTGTGTGTATGAACATCCCAGTACTGTCAGAGTGTTGAGGTTGGAAGTGCCAGGAGAGGAAACCTCCTGTAAATGCAAAGAGCTGATGTAAGTTGTGTTTATCCCTGCAGCCACAGCACTAAAGAACCTTGTATACAAAGTCATTCCTACCCCAGGCCAAGCCTTTCACGGTTCAGTGACATTAGCAACGTTCTTTTCCCTTCTTTCTCTTTCCTTCTTTTCATTTGTTTCCCCCCTTGCATCCTGCTCAGCTGAGAACAGACAGGAGCACGTTGTGGAACAGATTGTTATTCTTGATCAGGTGAGAGAGACACAGACGGAGAACTAAAGCCTGAGAACAGATGACAGAAGAAAGCGACCAGTAGCCATAAGATGCAGAGCAACAATTGATGATGTTTCCCCCAGCGGTGAGATGAGCCATGTGTCCCGTCTGTGTCGTAACAACGCTGCGTCGGGTGGATGCACCACAGGGAGAGCTAAGAAGCCTGGTGTCGTGCTGTGCTATGAAGTCTTACTTCCATGCGCTTTTGAAGCGTCAGCCTTACTAAATCTGGAAACCAAAGGCCAGCGGTGGCGCCACAGTCACAAAGCGTGTCGGCGCTCCAGTCACGCTGTAATGACTGACTTCGAACACAAACAAGCATCTACTAAAAACCATTGTGCAGCACAAGAGATGAAGCTCCGATGTCAAAAAAAGTGTGAAACAAGAAGAACTTGGTTTGGCTAAACTATAACACATTGTGCAAACACTGCCTAACAGATGCACTCATTCTCTATTGATACTTCCTATACTTTAAGTGTCATTTACATACTTAATGCATTTTATTGCATTATTGTAAAGTGGTGAGAAATTAATAAATTGTCTCAAAAGTGTGGGCATATTAGAAATCAGCCCCTTTCACTTAAAATTCATTAAATAAAATATGAATGCTTTCACTTGTCAATACCAGTGTTTACTTTAATGTTTTTTAAGAAGTTTTACTTCATAAAACAATGTCAAAGCTTGAAGATCTCAGTGAGAAAAGTTCAATCTATAGGCAGGGGTGATGAGAGGAGCAATAATTAAAGAAATGACCACCACAGCCTAAAAATGAAAGAACCTTAACCGAGAGCATTGTATAGAGTAATGGCAAGGAGAAAGCCCCTGCTAGATATTTACCCAGTAGCGACTGGCCAATTGCGCTAGAGGGCCTTGATTAAGAGGTTAAAAAAATGTCAATATTTCTAAATATATTAATATACTTTTTACATGTGAAAGATGAATATTTAATGTTTAATGACGAGTAAAGCTGTTTTGTTCGTAGTTGGATTGGTGACATATATCCATCCGGGTGTACAAAAATCTTTGACCATAGACTACGGTTAAAATTTGTACATGTGCAGTAGCTCCTCTTCAATGCAAAAGATAGGACTATCCTGGGGCGAAGCTCTCCTCGCCCAGAGCTGAAAGCAACTGTATTTTCACACCATCTCTCGTCACAGAGCTGACGTCACAGTCGTAATGCAGCAGATGCACAGGTTGAGTTGTGGAGGTTGAAGAGAAGAGAGAGAGAGAGAGTGTTAAATGGAGTAAGAAAAATTTATTTCAGTGAAGTTCCTTAAAAAACACCTTTTGAGCAGAGAACTTATCAGCAGTCCAAAGAGAGATAAAGACGGCACACTTGGTCTTTTTCCAAGACCTGGTTTAGCTAGTTGTCTGTGGGAGTGTCGGCCTACTGGTTAGAGCAGTACGCTTGTGCTCTGAGAAGGTTGCAAGTTCCTGGTTCAATCCCCAAAGCCTCCATTCTGGGTTCCTGAGCAAAACCCTTAACCCCATACTGCTCCCCAGGCACCGTACAAAGGCAGCCTACTGCTCCCCAAAGATGGGTTAAATGCAACAAGTTCATTTCTTTCCTCTTTACTTCTGACAGTGTAATAACAATAAAAGCTGGGAAAAAAAGCTACAAGGCTTGGCTAACTGCATGCAGTGAGGCTAACGTTTTATTCTGCTTTCCTGTCTCCGTTTTCAAACGTCAGGATCTGACCCAGATTGGATAAAGACAGGAATGACTCATTTAAAGCACTTTTCAGAAAATGTTATAATGCTTTTTGTTGATGGCATTCATGTAAATACACAGGTGTGATAACCTAGTATACATTTGATTGTTTTTTTGGTCTATTTTGAAGCTATAGCCCCCTGGAGAAAACTCCACCAGGCACCACTAGGTTTACCTCTAGCAAAGCAGGGAAGACAGCAAGGGTAGTGAGACCAACATTTCACTGTTTAACAGCACATGTGTGGGGTGATATAAAAAATGTGATTAAATAACTAAAAGACTTTACAAAATCAATTACAAAATCTTTAGATTTATCCAAAAAGAAGTAAAGAAGAAGGTTTCAAAGAAAAACATGCAACACATTTAAAAATATAAACTCTACAGCAGACAGCCATCTAAACTGTGGAGAATTTTTGAAATGGAAAAACCAAACAGAACTCTGGCTCTCATAAAGGGAAACTCTTCTGATCTGAAATCACACGGGGACTGCTCGGATAAGACATAAATAATAATGTTTGATCTGACAAGATGCTAGAATAAGAATCAGGTGTAAGACAAACTTAGCCTTGAGACACCAAGTCAGAAGCCAACAGGCTGGAAGAAATGATAAACCCCAGCATTTGACCTTGTGTCTGTGTGGTTTGGATGGACCGGCTGGAGAAGTTAAAGCAGCAACATTAAAACATATCCAAACCTCAAGCAGCTAATACATTAAAATGTCAGCTGCTATGATGAGAACTAAAATGATTCTTGGCCTTGGTGTGGCTTGTGCTTAATGGCATCAGTAGGCTTCACAGGAAATTTATTTTGCAATATTTTATTGTTCTGTGCCTCAGGTGGCCCAGCAACCATTGATATAGGATAAGGAGAGAGACTAATGGAAAATAAGAAGGGGAGAGGGAGGGGGGGATTAAGAAAATGCAAGGCCGAGCAAATACTTCTACCAAAAATATATATGGTGATAATAAATAAATACAAGTTTAATATCCTCATAGATGCTCTACTTCCATCTAACAACACCTAACCAGCATTTACTAATATTCTACCAACAACAGGATTCACAGATTACAGAAACCAAAACCTTAACATTAAAGCTCCCTCAGCAAGTCCCTCTTAGGACTATGTCTCAGCAGCTGATCAGTACAATAAAAATGCCCTCTTTGTCATCTAATTACCAATGTGTTATTAGTGCTTTAATTAAATGCCTGCAGGAAGCAGCGCTGGCATTGTCAGTAGGACAAGCATGGGGAGTGGATGTGGCAAATAATATCAGGGGACACAAAGAAAAGAAAAGTGGGAGGAGATTGAAAAAAAAAAAGATTTAAATTAGTTAAGGTCAAAACATTTTAATACATATAACAGTCCTATTTTTTTTTTTTAGAAAAGACAAACATTAAAAGGACTCCCAGTCAGTGGCAGAGAAAAAGTGTTCATGATAAATCAGTTACCAAACTGTCTCAAATCCTGTTCTCTAGAGAAACAAATTTAGCAAAATAACTACAAAAACAGCAATGGTTCTTCACCGTGAGAGAGACTGTAGATGGGACCTTCCCATCTAACTTTTGCAGCTGTGTCCACGGCTTATTTGTATAGAGGAAATATTGTGGCGATGAACCAAGAAAAGGGGGATCACAGCGGAAGGAAGGAGCTTAGATTGAGGCTCAGCGGGAGGAAACAAGGAAGACAAGAAAGGAACGATGGAGAACTAATCCCCAGAGACAGTCAGTGTCTCATGCCAGCTCCTGCTGAGCAGCAAAGAGGACAGAGAAGACTGAGCGAAGACAGAGACAGAGAAGGAAAGGTACAGTGCGTTGTCTTGGTGAGATGCCTTGAAATGGTTGGGTTGTGACATCACCTTCTTCCAAATCTGGAGTCATCCCCATAACACTCTGATCATCACATCTATGAGGTCAAGGTCTTTATGGAGAACACCGTGGCTGCAACTAGATATGCTTTTCAGAAAGACCTCCCACATACTGTGTCTCCAAGAATCAGCCTGTGTGTGTTTCCTGCTTCCTCGTGTGTTCTCCCACTGATTACAGCAGTCATGCCTGGTTTGGCTGACCGCACCTGAGGCAATAAGGAGATGATCCTTCCCAGGCGCACAAAAAGGAAAGAGGAGGAAAAGAACCAAGTAAGGATGAGGAGACAGAATCAAGTCATAAAAGAAGAGAAGACATAAGACAGTAGGAGGCAGAGAGAGGAAAATAAAAAGGAACACAATAATGCAAAAAAGGTACTCTGAAATAATTTTGTTTAGAAGCATTAAAAAAGCTTCACTGTATTTGTATCAGGTGCTCAATATAGATGCATGTTTCAATAAGTAAGAAAAATGTTGATTAGTTGATTATTTTAAGTAATTAACGAATCAATTTGGAGACTGAGACAAATTAGCTTTAAATCAATTATTAATATTAGTGTAGATTACTATGCTTGAAGCAAATAAAAAAACACTTTTTTTTTTATAACTGAATAAAAACCAGAGAAAGGATTTTGACAAAAGAAATACAAAGCTTATTTCTT